AATTTCATAGGAAATGAAAATGATTTCAAAAACCTTACATTTGCTTGTGGGGAGTTATTATCAAAAATATGTAGAATTGGACAATCAGGTTCCCTTTTTTACTTTGAATGTTATTATTATTATTATTATTATTATTATTATTAAATTTTTTGTTTGTATAAATTTTTAAAAAACAGAAATTATTATTCAAATTATATATCCAATATTAATGAAACATTTGGATGATAATAGAATATCATATACTTATTATAATTTATGGCAAAATATAATTGATGCATTCCCATCACATACTCTTGAAATATTTCTATCTAAACTTTTACTTCATGCACAAAATAGGGATCTTTACAAAATTTCCAATAATAATTTTATTCAAGATCAGTCTCGACATTTAATTCAAAAAGTTTCTAGATTGCTGCAGATTCTAATTAGTAATAAGAATTTGAAAGCTAAATACCTGATTAAAAACAAATTTTTTATTTGTGGGAAAGTTTTTCCTACTAGTATTATCAGAGTCCTATGTTGTTTTATCAGCTGGGGATCTCTGCAAGAAAATCATGATTCAATCATCTTGAATAATGCAAAAAAAATTAACTTGAAATTGGGTCCAGATGATGGTTAATTTTTTTATATTGAAAAAAAATTCACTTTACAGTTATTTAAAAATGTTTATTTATTTATTTTAATTTAATAAAATAGATCTCACACAAGTCTTGAAATCACTTACTACAACTTGGTCAGACACTACATTTGTCAAGCATGCATCAAATTCATTACAACTTTGTATGTTAAATCATTTACATATTTAGCAATAAAAAAGTAAACAAAGAATTCTATTAATTACTATTTATTATGTTAGATGTCACTAGTGCTATTCTTATTATATTTGGATATCTTCCAAAAGAGATATTATTAAAGATAAACATTTATAAAGACATAGGTGTTGGCACAACACAATGGATGAAAAGTTCTTTTGATAGAACACGTAAAATTGCAATGGTTAGTCATGATTTGATTTTCACATCTGTAAAATATACAATTTTGTGAAAGATATTACTTTTAAATTCATCAGATTACTGTTGAGATGCTTTCATGGTTACTTGATGAAAATGATGACGTGTTGGATTTCAAGTTAGATCCTCAAGATGAAGAAGTTAAAACATTAAGGCAATTGGTTGATGCAAAGGACGGATTAAATAATTTGCTGATTATTAATACTGAAGAAGAAGATGATGATGATAATGGTATGGGAAAATAAAAAATGTCAATTTGGTTATTTTTCCAGCAAGATTTATCATATATCATATTTAATACAGAGAACAGGTCATTTAAAAGGAATAAAGACATTAATGATGAAAATAATTCACAATCCATTTCTGTCATTACTAATTCTTTTGAAGAAGATTTTGATCAATCATCAAATGGTAAATCTTATTTTTAAGAATTATATATTTTTATTGAATCAATTAATTACCTATTTTAAAATTTAAAAAATACAGTTATTGATGAGGATGAAACTACTAAACTGGTTGGAGATTCTGATGATGAAGATGACTTTGAACCATATTCAATGGATGAAAGCGATTTTGATGAAAATGAAGAAGATTATGATACTTTAGCAACAAAGCCAAAAAATACTTTGCCTCCTGTGTATGTATTTTTTTTAAAAAAAAATAGAGAATCTTTTTTTTTTTTTATTGATGAAGATGACTTTGAACCATATTCAATGGATGAAAGCGATTTTGATGAAAATGAAGAAGATTATGATACTTTAGCAACAAAGCCAAAAAATACTTTGCCTCCTGTGTATGTATTTTTTTTAAAAAAAAATAGAGAATCTTTTTTTTTTTTTATATGATGCTGAATATATTTTTGTTTAATAGATATATTATAGACTTGTTTAAAATGTTAAAAGCAGCTGAAGATCCTGAAAAGATTGAAATTGCTATGAATACAGCTGAAAAATTGATTAGACTAAAAACCAATTTTGGAACGGAATTAGGTATTAAAATGAATTTATTGATATATTAATAATCAAGATGCTTTTAATTAATTTAATCAATGACAATATTTGGTTTTTTTTTAATTAAAGATGAAAATGCTAATGAGTTGGCCAGAGTTCTTATTTCAATAAATAATACATTTGAATTGAAAGAATTTGAAGAAAAAAGACATGCGGCATTAACTGCACTCGTAGTTGGAAGTCCAAAAAATACTGTATTGTAGGTTAACGTCATCACATTA